GCGCGGGGCTAATGCTAATGCTAATAATGCTAATGCCAACAAATACAATGGCGGCTTCAAAAAACTTTTCCGAGTTTTACGGGGCGTGGTTTGCGATTCAGCCCAATCAGAAATTGGAACTTTATTTATTTTTTTGCTCCCCAGGAAAGTACCACCTCTCTAGCAGGGACTGAAAAGGGGGGAAAAGTTCTCATGAACTAAGTTCTCTTTTTGGTAAAATCCCAGGAACTATCGGAACTAAAAGGGAAAAGTACGGGGAAAAGTACTCCGGAGTGAAAGCGCCTATTGGTTATCCATTTTTAACCCCCCCCCCCCCCCNCACTCACTCTCAGCCATTAGACTACACTCACCCAGTGGCTGCTGGTGGAATGCATCTTTTACAAGAGTTGGCTGGCAAATGTGGTTATTAAGAAGATTCTGATTGGTCGGGAACATATGGGAGGATGTGTAGCTAACTTCTACCTGACATCAGAGGCTAGTGAATACAAAAAATAGAAAAAACAGCTGGCGCAACAGCAACATGTTTTGGCTGTATCTCTGCTCCATCTGACGATTTAGATACATTTTCCCCAGAATAATTCAATAGAAGTTAAATTCCTCATTTGTTTGCCCTCCACTGTGGCCTGTAGCTTGATCACTGACTGCTAATTTCCAAATTCAAAATAGTTTTCAGTTTGAGCACAGTCTGTGTTTTTGTGATGAATACAGAAACCCTGGATCATAAGCTTTTAAAACAGAATAACTGTGTTTTTCTGAACTTTGTTTCATCTGTCGTATTGTCCTTATGACTCTGCAATCTTCCACCGAACAAGAGCACAATTGTTTGACCCTAATGTGTACCTGGTCAGACAAGTCTTGATGTCCAATTCAGTAAACTCTCGAGTGGGCCAGTTTTTGCTGAGCAGAAAGAAATGATTGCTGTCCGTGTCTCCAATTGCTTCGTAGAACCTGCTCTTCACAGACGAGAGTGAGAACTCCGAGATAAAAATCATAGACTTTGGTTTCGCTCGCCTCAAACCGCCAGACAATCAGCTCCTGAAGACGCCCTGCTTCACCCTGCACTACGCCGCGCCTGAGATCCTCAAGTACGACGGCTACGACGAGTCATGTGACCTGTGGAGTCTGGGGGTCATTCTGGTGAGTGCTGGGGGACATCAGAGCGGCTCAGGTTCAAACTAAATACGAATGATTATTCAACTCTGCATTATCCTGAGGTCATCTAAGCCAGTATTGCAATTTCAGTTTTTTTTATGAATCAAATACCATGCCATTGTTGGACACAGTTTTTAAAGACTGAGTATTATGTGCTTGTCTTTTCTTATATTGGGTAACCTGAGAACTTGTGGCTCATACTATGAAATAAAAACAAAAATAAAAGTTTGTTGGAGGAACTGATGGAATTTGGTGTAAAATTATAAATAAGTTGCAAAACATGTGCTATCTTTGGCATTACTGTAAATCTTTAGTGGACTTAGGATGCTATGTTAGGGCGTCACTATGTTAGGGCGTCACTATGTTAGGGCATCACTTTGTTAGGGCATCATTTTGGGATCTTTTTTTTCTCATGGTCAGTTCTATTAAAGTGACATAATGAATACTGGCCTAATGGAAGAAATTCTTTAAATGTAATTAAAGTAAATATTCAATAATGGCAGCATTTATCGTCACTGTTGATGGTTCGCTTGAAAAACGTATCCACATCCTAAACATTTACATGGAAGGATTGGATTTAGCTTGCAGTGTTTTTGAATTTATAATAAACATGATATTAATAATGTATAATTCAAGCAAAGAATGTTTACATTTTGATATTTGATATAACGAGGTTAAAAGCTGGTAAGGATACTTTTCTTCCCTTATCCAAATCGTCCGGCAGTGGCTCAGTCAGTAGGGGTTTGGACTGTGAGCCGTAGGGTCGCCGGTTCAAGTCCCCGACCAGACCTAAATATGGAGTGTGTCTACTTGGAGAGGTCCCAGTTCACCTCGTGCCCTTGATCAAGGCACCGGACAATTAGGGCTGCTCAATTAATCGTATTTTAATCGCAATTACGATTATGGCTTGCAACGATTACGAAAACAACGTAATCGAAATATAACGATTATTTTTTATTATTATTATTTTTTTATTTTTTTTTATTGGTTTTTAAGTTGAGTTATACTTAAAGTTCAGGGTAATCAACTGTTAAAAACATGATGTTAACATTTTTTTTATTCCAATAAATTGATGTTTTCAAAGTAAATAAGTTTTAATAATCGTGATATCAATTATTGACCCAAATAATCGAGATTATGATTTTTGCCATAATCGAGCAGCCCTAGCACAAATGCATGTGTGTGCGTGTTCTCTTTTTTTTCATTTGCATGATATTCATCTCCCGCTCTTGTTCAGCACTACAACCACCAGCATCCTGTGGTGAGCTGACACACTTTAACGCTCAACACGAAAATTAAGAGAGCAAGCGGTACCGGCTCTCAGGCCGCAATAATACGAGACGCTTTTCCCCAGTAGTGGAAATGTCATCCTAATTCAAGCTATTTCTGTGTAGAGGAGGACAATAAAAAGGAGAGGTAGGGAAGCGAAACAGAGCGAGGAAGGGTGGAGAGAGAGATTTCTGTATTTGGCCACTCATCCGTTCTGAGTCCAGGCTCTCTGTACGAGTGTTGCTTCACACATACGCCCCCTGGGGGGAAATGGGAGTAGTGTGTGTCTGAAGATTTGATGAAATGTCTCCTGACAAGCTGTGTGCACAATGCCCTGGAAGCAAAATGAGCAGACACAGAAATGAGGAGAGGGAGAAAGGGGAAGAGAGAGGGAGAAATCCTCCACTGCTGAAAGGGCTGTTCCAACTACAGTCACCCTAATGAGAAATCTGAGAGTGAATATAAGCAGGCCAAGATGGGAGGATACTTTTAATCCAGCTGAGCACACCGCGCTGTTTATTGCTGGGTAAACAACACGCAGCATGACAGTGGAATAATGCGGACGGTCGTGATCGGTCAAGAGCTCTTTTTTTTTGGATGCTTTTATTTTGTTTTACCATAGAAGAGGTGAGGACTGTGAAAATACAGCACAATCTGTAAAGATGTACGGTTCCCAATACATATTATAAAAGGTCAGGGAAAAAAAGCAATTTTTAAGATCCTAGACTTTTATAACAATCCCATTTTCCCAACATCTATCCCCCTTCTGCTTTTGAGTCGAAGGGAAAAAGTTATTTTCTCCAATGAGCGGGTATGTTAATAATAAGATTGAGATATTTCTAAAACATTATTTGAACAGCAGGTATGTTCAAACACTATCTCCTAGTGTCCACTGTCCTCTTGGTGTTCTGACTGTTCTTCCCTCTGTCTGCAGTACACCATGCTGTCCGGCCAGGTGCCTTTCCAGTGTCAGGAGAAGAGCCTTACCAACACCAGTGCTGAGGAGATCATGAAGAAAATCAAACTGGGAGACTTCTCCTTCGAAGGCGAGGCCTGGAGGAATGTGTCCCAGCAGGCCAAGGACCTGATCCAAGGTGAGGGGGACACCGGGGGCTTGATCGTAAATCCAATGTGTCGACATATGCAAGAAGTTTATTTTCATAACACGAGAGTTCAGATGTTATGTCACCTTGAGACTGTGGATTAAATCACATATTTTTGTGATTTTAATCCAGTTTTAAGAAAATAAAAATTGTAACGCATGTGAAATCAACCGCCATTTATAAAAAGAATTGATAATCATGCTGAAAAATGTATTATAAGATTTCATAATAATTAACATTAAAATATAATAATAGCTTTAATAAGAATTCTAGTTGAATGATCAGTATACAAAAAAACTGACTTAACCAGATGGTTGAATTATTGCTCAAAATATAGTACTGTGAAGTAAATATTTTACAGTTGAAGACACATTAATGAAATGTAGGGTTTAGCTGCTGAAGTGTATAAGTACAAGTTTTAGTGACAAGATGTTAAGGTTTCAGAAGAAAGAAAATATAATGTAAAAAGACAGAAATAGTGTAAATTAAAGATAATTAGGACAACATAGGAACATGTCTGATGCCCTTTCCCCTATTTACAGAATACAACACAGCTCAGATGTGATCTCACTTGTTACAAAGACTCAAATATACAGTGTGACGTGTGTGGTGGTTTCATATCATTTCTAATGGAAGATAAAGGCCTCCTTTACTCAAATTCTACTTGTGAATGAATCTTTCCAGCATTAAAACAACAAAACAAATCTAGATGAAGTTGTTATTTAAAGAGTCAGTGTCTATTTTGAAGGACAACATGTCCCAAAATATTGCCCGTTTTGAATCTTGTTGGCAGCAGCACCCTTTCTGCGGATGTCCGGATCACAGATTGAACTGTAACCCTCAAAGTAGCTCAGAGTGACTGAGCCTCCTGAGAAGGAAGTCACCTCCTCTCCTAACTGAGTATTTAGAGCAGCAGCTCATTATCCGTGTCTCGTTCCTGCAGAGCTGCTGACGGTGGACCCAAACAAGAGGATTAAGATGTGCGGCCTGCGCTACAACGCCTGGCTGCAGGACGACAGCCAGCTGTCCTCGAACCCTCTCATGACCCCCGACATCCTCGGCTCCTCCACTGCCTCCGTCCACACCTACGTCAAAGCTACCTTCCATGTAAGCAATGACCTGCAGTGTGTGCTTGTTTTAGATTTAGGTCGGGAACTCTGGGCTTCCTGTTGAAACATTTGGGTTGTATTGATTTGTTGTTTTCAACCTGCAGCTCGTGAACTGTACAGTTGCCACTTTAAACACCAATTGAACAGAAGTTATAGAGATGCTAACATGAAACACTAGGCATTATTGTTATAATTGTATTATAAGGTCAATCATCCAAAGTAAAACAGGCATTTTGAAAGGGAAAATAAATACATTTAAATGAATTGAAAATCTGAATTCCTTTTATTCGTCCCACAGAGGAGAAATGTACATTTAAAATATTCATTAGTTCCCTAGTTTAACCAAGGGATTTGGTTTAGGATCGAATCTTAGAAAACCCCTTTTTCATTGGTAACGCACTTGATAAAGCAACATTTTGGAAAATGTTGTGTACCAAATCTGATATATTCTTTCAGTATCAGCCCTGATGCTTACTATTAAATCCAATGCTAAAGGGTTAGCATTGAATAGCAGCAGAAACCCTGAGTTGAAGTATAAGAATCAGTGCATCCCTTGTAAAATGAATAATTCAGATAAAATCTCAACAACTTGCTCAACGATCCCATTTATTTTTATTTTGTTCCAGGCATTCAACAAATGTAAGCGTGAAGGTTTCCGCCTGCAGACGGTGGACAAAGCGCCGCTAGCCAAGAGGAGGAAGATGAAGAAGACCAGTACCAGCACGGAGACCCGCAGCAGCTCCAGTGAGAGCACGCAGTCCTCGTCCTCCTCCTCCCAGTCTCTGGAGAAGAGTTTTCCAGAGGGCAGCTCCAAGCCGCAGCCCTGCAGCAGCACCCCCCTCACCACGCCCGCCGAAGACACCCCCGCCGCCCTGGGGACGGACTCTGAGCACCAAGAAGAGCATCCAGCCTTCCACTTCTCAGAGGGACAGTGAGACAGGAACAGTTGAGATTCAGACGGTTTCAGGACCTGCAGGATGGCTCGGACCAGCTCCTTTATCTTTCTCTCCGTCCCTGGCAGCCCTCCGATTGCATGGACGTCCACACGTCTCCACACCAAGCATGCAGCAGGAGCAGCGACCCTCTCCTCAGTCTCTATCAATCATCACTAGCAATAGCCTCTTTTCTCTCACGTTGACTGTGTCGATCAGGGACTGGACCAGGAAGAGGTCGCCACCAGGGTCCAAAATGTCAAACCTACTGCCCTATTGCCCCAGGTCCAGACAGACGATAGGAAGTCGCAGCTCGCTCTCCGTCCGCTCCATTCACCCGTGTCGGTCCTCGCCTCCTGAGGTTTTAAAGGGAAAGTCGTCGTGTTTACTCCACGGATGCTTCGTGTTTATGTTATGTCTAAAGGGAGAGAAGAAACGCAGCGTAGAGAAACGTCCGTTCACTTCTCTGATCCGGGAAGTCTCTGCAACGCGAAGCAGGGTATTTATATGTGAATTTTACAGACTGAGATTTATTTATGATAAGCTATACTGCTAACTTATTCATGGTTCAGACCTGATCTGAAAAGAAATAAGGGATACAGTGAGTCCTTTTTAACGTGTGTGTGTGTGTGTGTGTGTGTTTTATCAGCTCAAAAGACTGTTTCTATGTTGTCAGATGGTTGTTCATTCATCTATGTAGTCGTCAATAATGCTTCAAGTAGGTTACTGAGACACAGCTAAGTAGACATTGTAAGACTATTATGGGAAAGAAAAGACGGCTATAAGAAAGTTCTTTGGACTGCAGTTGTGTCCAGTAGATTTTAAAAAAGTCATTTCCTTGTTCATAAGGACTAAAGAAGCAAACCATTTTTAATAGGAACAACCAAATGTGGATGTAGTTTGTTCAGCCAAATGTCTTTTATTGTTGTATGAGGGAGTGCGGCCGCCTGAGCGAAGGTCACCCTACATGGAGAGCTATTTTTAGACTGATTTTTGCCTCTGATGTTGGAGTGTGACTACGTCCAGACTCAGCAGTGCTGTTGTTCCACACGGTCTGATCCTCGAGGCACTATTAAGCCCGGCACTGGATGTGCTTTGTGTGGTAGAAGACTTCATTATAACTACAACCAATTGGATTGAGCAGAACATCCCATTTGGAAAGTTCTGATCAGCTTAGTGCGAGGTGAACCAGTCGAGGCGGTTGTGGTTTTCTGAGATGCCAAATGTGCAGCATCAAGTGGCTTCTTTGTCAGAAAAGAAAAAGATCACATTATTGGAAAATGAAAGGGTTTATGTTTAAAGGGCGGTGGTACATTCTGACTTTTGAATGCAATCTAGTGCAAACGTTGCCCATTGTGTCGTTCCCCAAAGTCTTCTACAAACGATCTTCCCTTTATGAAAACATCAAGTCCCCGCCCCTTGCTCTATTTACCATGTTGTACTGCATGATCTTTGCACTATGTGACAGCTCTCACTTTGAGGCAGATATCTGGTTAGTATGGAATCCCCCCCGTGCACGATGTAAACTGAAACATCAAATTCTTTGTTTAATGGGCTTTTTCGGGCAGATTCTCACTTGATTGAATGTGAGTTTGTTTACTTGCACATTTGAATATGCCCACATGTATGGGGAAGTTTGACTGAGGTGTTTGGAGGAAAACACCAAGAACCCTTTTTACAATAGCCTGAATTATTTAATGTCCCGATGTTACAACTCTGGTGTAAACCAGGAGAGCTCGGCGAGTGAACGCCACGCTCTGGTAAATGTTTTTTGAAAAAGTATGTGTTAGTCTGTTTTCAAGGTAATGGTTGAAATACTGTATTCTGTTCATGTCCTGGGTCTCTGTGTTCAGTGTGTGAAGCTGCCTCAAACAGCTTCTCCTGCTCAATGAGGACGCAGTGGGACTACTGTGTGCATTCACACACTCCCTCATCTTCTTCCATTTGAATGCACTCTGAATCCGAACCAAAGCATTAACTTCAAGGTAGCTGCTCTAAGCTGCATGAGAAATATCCTTTCATGTATATATGCAAAGAAATGCTTCTTATATTTATATCACAGTTTCTGTTTGTCTGACTGTTGACAAAAGCTCCATCTCCGAAACATTTTACGTGTTTCATCAGAGATCCTTTATAGGACCTAAAAAGACCACATCCAGCACGTGATCATGCTTTAAAACTAAGCATCTTTTTACACTGTTGTGTTGCTTTGCCATTTCAAAAAGATCTCGCCAAACATACTTCTTTAAAGATCTGCATGTAATGTACTTTCACCCTCATCGCATCAGCCAAAGTGGAAATAGCAGAGTAGTATCCGCGGCCGGCACAAAAAGCTGGCATCCTTGAAGCTGAACGCTAAGAAGCTCTTGTCTTACTTAGTTCGCATGAGTTCCCTGTTGCTGCCTCATTAAGCCTCTTTCCTTTTGTTTGGGTGTATTAATAGCTCAAGTGGAGGAAGAGGGAAAGTGTCCTATATGGAGCTCCCCTCTGGGAGCAGGCTCTATTAGCTGAAGCAGTGCTGTTTGTTCCAAAGATACGCCGTGCTCCACACACTGGGACCAGCGCTCTCTTTTTTTAGGGAAAAGAACCGTGTATCACAGGAACCGCTTGGTTTAGTACCAACGTCTCCCGGGGCAGATTTGTAAAACTAGGTTTCCCCTCTTTGATGAACGACTCGTTCAGCGTGCCTCTGTGAAGCGGAGCCGAGGGAGGGGGGGCCGGTCTGATTGGACGTCCTGTTGTCTTTGATGCACTTTTGTTTATTGGTTCCCTGGAAATTGACTGAAAGCTACTTTTCCTGAGCACAGTGCTTCCTCTTTTTTTAGCTTTTTTTATGAGTTAAATCCTGAACTAAACCTTTGTAGCGTTTTGCAACATGAATTAGAGGGCTGGTACTTTGAAGTGTTTTGTATAAAGCCGTGACTGCTGTTGTGCATTTTAGAGTCCAAGGATTGGACGGTTCCTGTGAGCGTCTGTCAGTGGAGTTGTGTCGTGATTAAGAGACCAATGTGTGTGCCAAAGCTGAAAGTCTCATCTTGGAGAACACGGCTTTGTGCTTTTTGTGCATGTTTTGCCTGTAAAAGTGGTCATCTTTAGACAGATGCTAAGACATTGTGGCTCTTTTTTGTGCGTTTTTACTATGGGATCTGTCCGTGGTGCTTAAGGGACCAAACCTCTGCCGGGGCTGCAGAAATGACCCGTCGTATTATGACCATTCAAAGCAGTGGTTTCCAACATGGAGACCCCAAGCATTAAATGTACATTTATGTCAAAACACATTTATTAAGACTTTCTTACAGGGAAGATCCACTCATTGTACACATAGACGTCTCTTAACGTGTCCTAGAGAGAATTTGGAAAACACATTGTTTAAAGCCTTTTATGGAAAAAGTCATGTCACTTTTTGGTTTGGACTGATGACTGAAGTTTAAAGGTGACCTATCATGCAAAATGCACTTTTGTACGTCTTTTATACATGAATATGTGTCCCCGGTGTTCCAGGGAACTCACCAAGTGTCAGAAAACACAACCCTCTCTATNTTATGGCTCCTACATATATTATTCAAATATAGCCCATGATAGTCCACTTTAACAAAAATCTTGGAGGTGTAGAGTTACATGAGGCTTCCAGATAAGACACAATGTTTCACATTTCTTGATCAATAGTGTTTAATACATCTAAGTTAACTTTAAAAGGTTGGGAACACATGCTTGAAGGCCAGCTTCACAAATTACAGTTTTATATAGGATTTGTTGTGTGGAAACAAGCCAATTTTTTATGAATATGTCGACACTACGGGGTGTGGATTATACACATTAATTCTGAAAAAAAAATATTTAGTTTTTATTTTAAATTGTTCAGTGCTGAGAGCATCACAAACATTGAAATCTCACAACCATTGTCATATAAAACCAAATCTATAGCACTTGTACTATAAAATACTGGATGTATTTATGGAATTTGGGTGAACTGACCCTTAAATTATACATTTTTGGGAGAAGATGTTTTACTGTCAGAGATGAGAGAACAGTCAGCTCGACATTTGGACGTGTGTTTTTGAATTTATTGAGTTGACTCGGTGCTCTAAAGTTGAGTGAGATTATTGAAAAGTATTCAGAGTTTTGTTTCGATGAGGGAAACACAATTGTTAGAGATGTCATTCAGGGCCTCTGCCAACCTGCCACTTTAGGCATCATCATCACCATCCTCTTCATCACCATCATGCATGCGCTGCTGCTCAGTTCCTGTCCATATTTCTTATGTTTCATCTCTTCTTGTCATATCGTTACTGAGCGTGTCAAAGTACTGTAGCAGTGATTCCCTTTGGTCGATATTGAACTGTTTCCAAACACGCAATCAAGCTTTAAAGGCAAACCTTTGCACTTATATGTTATTTTTTTTATCATGCAATTAATTATTACTATGATTATTTTTGTATAAAAAAAAAAGAGATAGAAAATGTCCTCTTTGATTTTGTGCAGGTAAAAAAAGCGTTACCTTATTCATCCGTCTGTTTCTGCTCCTACATTTCTGAGATGATACTTTGACATGAACCTCAACACCGAATAGTACTTTTACTGCAGTGAATACACACCATGTGCATATCTGCTTTTTTTAGGGCACTGTGAACATCATCCAGGTCTCTGGCACACCATCAAAATGAGGAAATAAACCTTGATTTGCTTCAAGAAAGGCTTTACTTAGTGGCTGAATACGTACATGTAATAACCTGAAACCAGTCATGGAGGGTCTTTCAATGGACTCTTGCTTTATTGTATTTTAAAGTGTATTACTGGAGATATTTTTCTGATACCAAGATGTGTGTGTACTAGACTTAAAGGTGGGGTATGTAATTTATTTCAGAAATACTTTTTGTTATATTCCATGAAATGCTCTTAACATCCCGATAGCAATGAATACATTAAAAAAAAATATCATCTGTGGAAGCCGTGGCGCTGAAAAAAGCACGACCAATCATCTGAGCCTGCCCGGCTAAAGTAACTGGATGGCCTACCTGCCTGTCAGCCTTCCATCTCGTGCACAAACTTATCTCGTGCCCTCATTGGTCATGTGCGCGTTCGTGTGTGTTGGAGGAGGGGCTCTGTAGGAAGTGGCAGATTTTTTCCGGTTGTGTATTTTCAAATTCTAGCGCACTCGAGCTGGTTTCTCCAAAATTACCTACCCCACCTTTAAGGACAATAAATGTGCGTTTTCCTATTCATTTATTGATCTTGACTAATAATTTTGATTTAGGGTTAATTATCTTTTTATATTTAAATTTAAACGGCATTTTAGGAGTCATGGGAACTGCATTTCGGCCTCTAGATGGCAGTGTTTGATAGAGTGCCAGGAACAGTTTCAGCATGAACTCCTTTCAGCCTTTCTTCATAGATGAGTAACATTTTAGATTGTGTGAGCTTCAAAACTAAAATATGACTTTCATGTTGTCTAGCAGGACCAGAGATGTATGTCTTATGTACATGTATTGCATATTTATAACCAAATTAAGATTTGTGTCTCTAAAAAGTGAACTGTAAGTACTGTAAATGTCCAGTTTTATTATTTGTGTGCTCTGATTAAAACGGTTATATGATGTGAAGCTGAAAAAAAAGGTTTCCGGTCTCTTTAATAAAAAAATGTTTGGAAAAAAAGATTTTAAGATGCAACCATATTTAATATTGTATGACAAATAAACATGTGAGCCTTTGAGGAGGACCTCAATGGACTGGGAATATGGGAAATAAAGGAATGATTGACAATGGGTAAAGTCATGATAAATGAGCATCGTTTGTTATTTCTGTTTAGTGGCAAATCTGTGAATAAATGTGTAAAAAGTGAAGGGCTTTAGGTCTTTTAATCCTTATCTATTATTACACTTACCCATGTTACATATTGCAATGAAAAATATTTTAACAATTCAATTATAAATCGTCGAATTGTTTGACCTATAAAAAATATCAGAATAAAAACTAAAACTGCAATAGTCATATTTTATATTTTGCCCAAAGCCCAAAGTTTTTAATATTGTAAAAAAAAGTTACTTACCAAATATTAGGGGATTACACATGAGAAACTTAAACCAGTGAATCTTTTACAATTGTTGCTAAAGATATATAATGAAAAGATTATTGAAGTAGTTGCTAATTTCTTTTCTGTATCAATATGTCTTAATTACTGCATCTCTTTCCTCCAAAGTTGTAGAAGTTTAAGTTGTCTTCGCTGTGGTGTAATACCGTCCTCTGACAGCAGAGGGCGCCTCTGGCTCTCAATCAGCTGCTCCTGGGAAAGGGACCTGCGCTTTGAAAAAAGTTACAATTCGATACCAGAGGTGTGAAAAGTACTACAAGTAGCTTACCCGAGTACCTGAGTGTAGGAATACTCTGTTACAAGTAAAGGTCCTGCATTCAAAATGTTACTCAATTAAACTACAAAAGTATTGGCATCAAATTACAGTTAAAGTACCAAAAGTTAAAGTATTCATTATACAGATTGGTTCATTCCAGAATAATATATATGATATGTTTTATCATTATTGATCATTAAAGTGTTCTCAAAGCTGGTAAAGGTGCAGCTAGTTTGAATGACTTTGTATACTGCAGGGTAGCTTGTGAATTTACTCCAGGTGGAACTAAAGTCTGATTTAACACTTGACTATATTTGACTTCATAAAAGTACACCATTCACCTCTGAATTGTAGTGGAGTAAAAGTACAAAGTAGCAAAAAAAGTACCTCAAATTGTACTCAAGTACAGTACTTGAGTAAATCTACTTAGTTACTTTACACCACTGTCAAAACTCGTTGTTGTGTTAAACAGGTAAACACACAAGAGGGAAACTCCACTACGTTTGTTTTAGGTGACAAATATCAGAATATACTCCTGATAACAGTAACTTGTCCGCCCAGAGTCTAAATAAAGGCATTAGAAAGGTCAAAGGTCATATGTGTGCAGAGAAATATCTTGATGTCCTGAATCCTGAATTTCTGTTGTATACCTTAAAACACAAGAAATATCGTTTTAAAGAAGGTATCCATTCAATGATTAGATTGTATTCCTGTCTTTTGAATTCAATCAGATTGTATTACATGCTATAAGGATACAACTTTGATATATAATTTAACTTTTCATGTTCAGTTTGAAGGTTTATAAGTCAGGCTTATGCCTTCTCTGTGTTTCTTTTCAGCTTTCTTTCTTTATCCCATCATAATGTCACTTAATTCTGCAGGACACAACCAGCTTGATATTGCAGGATACTACTTCTGCAAAGTATTTAAAAGCAAAGCTGATTTTTCTTTATGCATTCGGCTTTCAGTCCACTTATTGTGGTTTCACCCCGCTTGCTACTACATCCAACAATACAGGCGATGCACTCACAGAGAAATTTCCCCCCCGCACATTTTGCAATGCGGATGTCAATATGGATGTTCAGCAGGAGAAACTCATTACACAGCGGGTCCTGTGTGTGTGTGTATGTGTGTGTCTGTGTGAGATATATCTATTTTCTTTGAAATATGCCTGCACTAAAATACTATCCATTACTAAACAATGTGGGTTATAATGTGGTGAATAATTCAGATGCACTCTAAAATCCATCATGGAGATTTTTAGAGGAAGACCATAGGCTACATGAAAGACTAAAATACACCCAGAAAGACAAACTGTTTTAAATTCTCTCACACAAGATTAAAAAGGAAGCCTATATAAGATGAAGACAGTGGATTGCCTTTTCTCTTGTGTGCCTTAACACATAGACTTGACTTTTTTCTTACAAAGAAGGGCTAATTGCTGATGCAGTTTTGAAATGCAAGGAATAACACATTTTGCAATAAAGTCAAGACAATACCTTTGTTGTGCTGCGGAGCATAATTCTGCCTTTTATACAAACCCTTTTTGGTCACGCTTCGAAGCACTCTGTAAACAACCTGTTCATGTCTGTTCTTGTTCATGTCAACATGCACGGTTGTCCACTGCGTTTTCAAAAATCTCTCCTCCCTCAATTTCTGTTTGCTCATTTTATTACCACAGGATTTTTGTATAAAATGACCTTATGGCTCCCAAAAAGTATACTTTACTTGCACTACATTCATTTGAGCTACTATACAAAAGAAGTAAACACATTTCTAGAACTGATAAATATTGAGGTATCAGTAAAAGTAAAGAAACTCAGCAGTAATATTAATATTATCATCTTTATTTGTTAAATTATTTTCATTGTTATAAGCTGAAACACTGAAGGGATTTTTACATTAATGCACCACAAATTATAACACAATAAAATAATTACTCTCCGACCACTGACCGGTTTTGCAAGTGGAGCAATATTGGAATAAATTAATTAATTTCATGTCTCGTTTCTCACATTTTTTGTTGTATTTGGAATAGGCCATACATTTTTCGTAAATCAATCATTTCTCTTTAACATAACCTTTTTTGATTTCAAGTATTGTGCTTTGCTTCACTTCAGGTCCATTTCAATTGTTAAATAAACTGTTAAC